TTTTGTATCGGAATTTTTTCTTATGAACACACTCCTCTTTGTATGCATAGAGATGCTCAATTTTCTTTTTCACGTGTGCCTTTTGTAGATGTAATAAACTTATACCTTATACTTATACTTATACTCTCATACTATATACTTATACTTATACTTATACTTATACTTATACTTAACTTATACTTATGTCGGCAAAATGAAGCGCTCACGAGCAAAGAGGATTTGGTACAACGAATGGGGTGGCCGCGGGTTGAGGATTACTCAGCGAACGCGGGAAGGGGAACATATTTGGGGCAGTTGGAAGAGCATTCTTGGAAAGGGATTTGACTGTGGGTTTTTTCTTTTACATGGATTTTGTACTGCTTTCAGTGAGAGTAGTTCGTTGCTCCCCCTCCTTCCAGTCGACGAATTTTTCCAATAGTATGAAGGACGTTAAATGTACTAGGGAGATGAAAATAGCATTCAAATGAAATTTACTTAGTAAGAATCCCACTGTTTTCTACTTAGTAATAATCCCGAGTTGGGCACGGGATTATTACTGACTAAAAAATTTCCTTACAAGGTTAGTGTATCCGGTTGAGGGGTTCCAATCGCTGTGGAGTGGTGATTCACCGCGGGATGCGACTCCCAAAATGCACTGACATACCGACGCCATTGCCGCTTTTGTTTGCGTCTTTGACTGTTACACAGTTTGCAATAACAGCTAGCACAAATGTGCAACTCCACACCCCTACCATGTCCCATTTGAGAAGACAACCCCGACCACGACTTGGAAACACGTCCATTTGGAGACGCTGTGTTGCCCTGGCGTACCCGACAGGAGGCCCGTCGCGCGGCAAGAAGGCAGAGGCAGTGGAGGAGTCGCAGCGCGTCACAATGGTGCATTCTATTCAACTTGGCGCGAAATCGCTAACGCGCTGCGACTAGTCCGCTGACTCACCTTTTTGCCGCGCGATGATCCTCCTGTCGAGTACCCATTGCCCTGAAGCGCAAGTCTTCATCAACTCGCTTCTTGTGCTTGTTTCGCAACAAAAATGTCACGCTCATTTACTTGGCCTCTGACCACACTCTGGCTTCCGCCACCTTTTTTCAACTTGCTCATAATAAGTAGAGCTTCTTGTAGACGCATTCTCTCTCATTGTCAATGCCATCTACTTCACGGCTAAATGGAAATTCGAATTCTATAAAAGCTCGAATTCGAACGAAACATTCTACAGTGCCGCAGGAAATGGAAGAGAGGTAAATTTCACTTAATAATGAGAATAAAAAAGAAAGGGTACTTCTTTTCCCTATTTTGGAAACGAACGAAAGCATGACCTTCGCGTTTTCAGTTGGAATTCATGAACGATCTCGAAGAGAGGCGGCTCTACGCTGAGGACGACGACCTCCAGGTGCTTTCACTCCAGTATTTGGCAATACTTCCTTCGCATTCAACAATATTTCCTACCAAAGCCACCGGTAAATGCGCATAATCGAGGTCAACCGTAACGTTCGCCACTTTCAAAAAAAGTGACGAGTCCCTCCTTCAGGGGGGTCTCGATGCGACCCCCCACCACCACCATCAGACTCAGGATGCTCCCCCTCTACCCCTCTACGATCCCCTTCCTCTTTCTCCCACACAGCCCAACTCCGCTCCCCTCAAAGTCCATCAAAAACCATTACACCATTCACCCAACAAACTACTGATCCCACTCAACCCCTGAATGGCGACCACCCTCATCAAAACCAACCACAAATGCGACCCCCTCGTTCAAATAGTGCGAACGCACGGTTGACCCTGGCTATAATTGTGTAAGCAATATGAACTTCAATAATGAGTTCCGACAATCTCAGACACTTCTTCAGATTCGCCCTCAACGAAGTTCGTTCAAAACTCAATGGAGAGAGGGTTCAAAATCTGCTTTCAAAGTTGAAAAGAACCTTCATATCGGAGCTTTTACTACGGATTGGGCGTTGCTCACTATGAATTGAGACGCTCATGGACCTTTGGCGAAGCGGGAAGCCATGAGTTTAAATATACAGCCGTGGCTAGCTTAAATATTGACGCATGATTACGGCGACACTTTCAAGAGAGCAATACACTACTAAAGAAAATGCCTCAAAATGCCTTCTTCGGCAGCGATACAGGCTTCAAGTCTCTTCTCAACTGACATCACTGTGGACCGCAAGTAACTGACGTCAAGCTCCTTCCACGCCTCCTCCAAGGAAGCCTTCAGGGAGTCCAAACTTCGATGTTGCTCAGAAGGCACTTTCTGCTGCTAGAAGCCACAGACCGCAAACAGTCGCGGGGTTTAAATCGGCGCGCAGTCAGCATTTCCAAGCATTCTGTGACCAGTAACCTGGAAAATGAACACAAAACTCCAGCGTAGATTTTGCGGCATGTGCAGGCGCCTAGTCTTGCTGAAGAATGCACTGACGTTCGCTGAAGGTCGAAACAGTCCATGGAAGGAGCACATCACGTAAAATTGTTTCCTGGTAGATCTGGGCGCTTAATTTTGACGGATTTATCCACAAAGACAAGCGGTGTCATGGTTTCAGAAGTAATTCCTGCCCAAACCATGACAGATTTTGAAAATCGGCTCCTTGTGTGCGCACGACGTCGAGCAGAATGTCTGCTAGCCGGATCCAACAATTGCCTGTCCTTTTGAGAATTGTGCGCCAATTCCAGTGTGAAGATCTTCTCGCGTCACGTTGACGTCACTTACTTGCGGCCCACGGTGATGTCAGTTGAGAAGAGACTTGAAGCCTGTATCGCTGCCGAAGGAGGCCATTTCGAGCACCTTCTTGGTAATGCATTGCCATGTTTTATTGTATATAAAAATAAACTTCTGAAGATGTGAATAGCTTCTCTTTTAAAAATATGTAAATAAACCATGCGCCAATATTTAGTAGCCACCCTGTACAGTACTTGGGACTGATTCATAGGGAGGGTAAGGGATTCTGAGGGCCTGTTTTTAATGTCCCCTACCTCCTAGGCCATCAGCGCCTTAGACGAAAAGGGAACCCACCAGTACGTTATAGGAATCACAGTACAACGGGCCTCTCTTTGCAGATCACAATCCCGAAGATGAAGATTGAGACGGACTTCAAGCTTAAGGATGCACTCATAGCCATGGGAGTCTCGAAGATGTTCAGCGACGAGGCAAATTTAGCTGGTATCACCAAGGAACCTCCACTTAAAGTTTCCAATGCTGCTCACAGAGCTATTATTGAGGTTTGCAAATAGTATTATCCTGAGAAGGAATGAATTTATTGCTTGTTCTTCTACTTCGAAAAACCCGTTTCAGGTAGACGAGGAAGGAACAACAGCAGCGGCCGCCACACTCTTCAAAGTCATACCATTGTCTGCAGTTATGGATGAACCGGTGAAATTCCGAGCCGATCATCCGTTTTTGTTCATTCTTACCAAAGGATAATAATCCTCTATTCATGGGCCAATTCGTATAAATGATTGTTTGTTGTGCAAAATTGTTGTTGTGCAAAAAGGTATGTTGTAAACAATAAAGGATCGATGAGAAAGGTTATATTAACTGGTCGGAAGTGGTGTAGTGGCAAGTGGCACGCTTACCACGCGAGCGGTCCGGGATCAAATCCTGGGTCGTGAGTCGCCCGGGCCAACCAAGCCTTCCATCCCTCCGGGGTCGGTTAATTGGTACCAGACTTGTCTGGGAGGATAAAAACACTGACTTGTACATCGGCTGGCCCCCGCAAGTCATTGTATAGGCCACATCGCATTCAAACGCCACTACGAATGTACAAATGGAAGTAGAATGCAAAAAGGGATTGATCAACGGCAAATGCTTTATCCTTTTTTATCAGGTGGTCGCATTCGTAATAACCCTTCTGCTTCGAAGACACATTCT